GGCCACAACAGTGCCTGAGTTCCTGCTGTCCAGGTCTAAGGCCTTCACTTTCTCCTAATGTTGTTGATCCTGAGAGCATGGCTCAGTGAACTTATTTTACTCAAATCTCCATCTGAGAGTACGTTTCCCGAGGAATCCCGCTTGACAGTCAGTGCCAAGGGTGCTGAGGAAGCAGATTCTAAAATGAGATTCTAAACTGGAAATACCTGCTGGCCCGCTGGCAGTGAGGGCCACGGGCAGCAGGTAGAGCATGGAGATCCCCTGCAGGGGATCAGTGCAACTGTCAAAGCTTTCACTAGTGTTGAGCTGGGATGGGATCCTGGGGGAAGGCAATGCTTAGCGGGGGAAATATATCAGGTCTGATAAATGTATCAGGTCTGATAAATGTATCAGGTTTTATAAAGACAATGGAATTGGATGGTTAGCTGGAGGCAGTCAATGCACTGGACAAAGACAATGAAAGGTTGAGGGTGACTGATCACCAAATAAAGGCTAAGAGTGAAAGCCAAGGCCCTTCTTAGCAACTTAAAAGGCATTTTTTATCTCTCGCATTTAGAGGCCTCCCAAAACTGAGAATAAGGTCCAATATTTACTTATAAGAGTAGCAGGGCTCCAGAGAAGTTTGAATTTTTAACTCTGGCAAGAAGGAGTGAGACCCTGAGACATGTGGGGTGGGGGTCAGCTGGGTGAATACTTTAAAAATTTTGAATATTAGGCCGGGCGCGGTGGCTCAAGCCTGTAATCCCAGCACTTTGGGAGGCCGAGGCGGGTGGATCACGAGGTCAAGAGATCGAGACCATCCTGGTCAACATGGTGAAACCCCGTCTCTACTAAAACTACAAAAAATTAGCTGGGCATGGTGGCGCGTGCCTGTAGTCCCAGCTACTCCGGAGGCTGAGGCAGGAGAATTGCCTGAGCCCAGGAGGCGGAGGTTGCGGTGAGCGGAGATAGCGCCATTGCACTCCAGCCTGGGTAACAAGGGCGAAACTCCGTCTCAAAAAAAAAAAAAAAAAAAAAAAAAAAAAAAAAAATTTTGAATATATAAATAAAAAAGGAAAAAAAATTAAAAAAAAAAAAAAAAAAAAAAAAAAAAAAAAAAAAAAAAAAAAAAAAAAAAAAAAAAAAAAAAAAAAAAAAAAAAAAAAAATTTTGAATATTTAAATTATCTTTTGGGCCTGAAAAAGTACCCACTTGTTCCTGGTAAAGGCCATCACTACTTCCTTGCTTAAGGATGATAGAGAAACCTCTGGCTTGTAAGATCACACAGGTTCCCTTCAAAACCTGCCCCACCTCCTCTCCGGATCTGCAAACCAATAACTAGGATTAAGTCCTTTTAGACCTCAGCCAGGATTCCCCGAAGAGAAAAAATACACTATGCCCTGGCGGTTCAAGAGGAGCTAACCAGCAGGTACAGGTTGGAGTTGTATGGCACTGGATTCTGAGGGTGTTGGAGCAAGGAGGGTGGGACACAGAGTTTGATCAGGGAGAATATATGGATATGGAAGCCTGTTCTTAGGACAGGGGATTCAACACTCTGACAAAGACCCCAAGAGGTGTTGCTAACGTTCTCATAGTGTAACTGACTACCCCAAGTCCCAAGAGCTAGTTTATTTTTTTCTCTTTTTCTCTTCTCCCCACTTCCTACTTAGCTCTTTAGAAATGCATTTATAGCCTGTTACCTCCTCTTCAACAGACACAACAGGGCAAGTTCATGTAACTATGTGTTTAGAAGTCCCAGAGCAGAACTGTCACCCAAGCGGGAGGTTGCCTCAGGAGACAGCCTACAAGACCATCTACAAGCCAACGTATGCTGGCTGTGAGACTCTCACCTGGAGAGTTTTTGGCTGCTTTGGCAACCTAGTCCTGTCCATGAAGGCACCAGTAGTCACCAGCTCCACCACCCTGTAGGCAAGGCACCAAAGTGAGTATGCAGACACCCCATCTGCTGCTTCGTCCCCTGCATGCCATTCACGTCAGCATGCCAGGCTCCCTTTTAAAAGCACTTGCTTTCTGCTCCAAAAGCGAAGCGGTACTCTAAAAGCGGAGACCATACCTTCTTCCCCTAAGTTGGTTTTGAAATAAAAAGTTGCTTTCTTTGTACGAGATCTTGCTCTTGTTAATTGGACTCTGCAAGCAGTGAGCGACTGAACCTGTGTTTTGGTTACAACGGGATGGCTCTGGGAAGCTTGGAAAAAGCCATGGCCCACATTAAGTGAAGTAGGCATGTCAGGACTGCTGTGGCATACAGTGGAAGAAGTAGTAAATGGCTCAAGAGAGTGGGCATGCTAGGCCAGGCACAGTGGCTCATGCCTGTAATCCCAGCACTTTGGGAGTCTGAGGTAGGGGGATTGCTTGAGCCCAGGAGTTCAAGCCCAGCCTGGGGCAACATAACAAGACTCCATCGCTGTTTAAAAACAAGAGTGGGTATGCTCGAATTAATAGGTTATGTAAAGTCAGAAAACTTACCAAATGCCTATGTTCTAGCAGACATTCCAAAGGACACTCACTTTCTTTTTTTTTTTTTTTTT